TGTTAGCCAGGGACAGTTTAGAAACAGAAGTATAAAGGATTGTTAATAAAATGTTTTGTGCACTGATAAATTAAAATCATAATCAAGTCACCATGTTAAATTGGTCAGAGATTACAGAGACAGCTTCACTTTCTACATCACCCAAACCACCAGAGGAAAAATCTCCCCAGCAATCTCTCTGTAATCTCCTGAGCTTCCCCAACAAGATGTGGTTTGAACCATGATCTTCATGTTCTGCTCTGATGTTGTTTAGCCACAGTGGCACTTTTTTAGTTCTCTTTTTATGCTTTTTAATTTGGGGTATACATTTAAATTGAGACTCTACTCTAGTATCTTTAAGAGTCTTTAAAAAGTTTCCATGCAGTTTCCGGGAATTTCATTTTTGGCATGGACATTTTAGTGTCTGTTTAACTTCATTTGTGTGTCATTCCAGTTTCTGAAATTAAATGCTATTATATTGGACTGCTGCGGTGTTTCTCCTGCCCCAGAGTGTTACATTTAATTTCCAGAGGTTTAAAAGTGTAGCCATGTAAATGGCTAACTGATAAATATGAGTTTATTGGTTACCCAAACAATTTTTCAGCAGTTACATGGTTAGCCAATTACCTGCATTTTAACATCCCTAATTATTACCAAATGTCCAGCTATATGCACCTTTTGGCCCAGATCTTGTGCTCCACTTAACGATTAAATCAAGAATTGCCTCTCCTCTTGTGGGTTCCATGACCATTTGCTCCAAGAAGCAATCACTTAAGGTGTCAAACTCTCTTTCTGTATCCTGTCCTGAGGTGACACGTACCTCATCTATATGAGTATAATTGAAATCCCACATTGAGTTTTTTATTTTAATAGCTTCTATAATCTTCCTGAGATTTGACAGACACTATTACCACTCTGCTCAGCCAGCAGTAAATCCGTACTGCTACATTCTTATTGTTGGAGCATGGCATTACTCTCCATAGAGATTTTAAGATACTTTTGGTTCATTTAAGACTTTTTACCTCATTTGAGTCAATACTTTCTTTCACATAAAGGGCCACTTCCACACCAGCAGGACCTGTTCTGTCATTCAGATATTTTTTGTACCAAGGTATTACTGTGTTCCATTGATTATCGTCATTACACCTAAGAGTCTGATGCTTATTGTATCAATATTTTAGTGCAGGATTTCCCAATCTTTTCAGGCATCGAGTCCCTATCGGGGTCCTGAAAATTTGGCAGAGCCCTTAAAATATTTTCATTTTTAATTAAATAGGTATCCAAATATACAAAGATTTAGAATTCTATTTTATGTATTTTTTTATAAGTGTTATTTTTTCAAGAAAACTAAATAAGAAAATTAGTAACAAAAGAGAGTCACTGTTATTGAAATTAGAGATGTGCATGGTTAATCAGTAAGTATCACACTTAATGGGTGATAATTACAGGATAATGATTAACTGTTACCTGGGAGCAAGACCACCAGGGCAGAAGGCTACTCTATTATGAGGGGCTACTGCCTCCCAGCCCACATGGGTGAAGAGTCCGCAGCCTCGCAGGGAGGAGGGAGAGATGCAGAAGTGACAGTGGAAGAGAGGCTACCAGATCCCAAGCCTGCACGGGTTGGTAGCCAGCAGTCCTTTTGCCCCCCTTCCAAGTCCCGCAGACACTTCTAGCCCCACATGAGATTGCTGATTCCCAGCTCATACGGGTGGGAGCCAGCAGCCCACTGTGGGGTCAGAAGCAGCCAGGCTTGAGCAGCCCCTATCTATGGCGCAGGGGCTGCTGCAGCTCACCTCCATTTAATCAGTTTAAACATTAAATTTAATGTTTAACCAGTTAACCAATTAAATGGGATTTTACATCCTTATTGGAGAGCAGTGATCCCCTCTTAGGTGCGCGCTTGTGAACAAAAAATTCTAAACTTGCCCACCTCCTTCCCAGCAAGGACCCAGAAGGTCCTGGACCCAGAAGGTGAGTGGCATGGCTGCTCGGGTGGATGGGATCCGGGGCCAAGTGGGGGGCGGCTACTAGGGTGGCTGGGACTGAGTGTTTTGGAGCAGCTGGGGAGGGCTGCTCCAGCAGCTGGGAACTTTCCATTTAAATCTTGCAGTCTTAATTTTGCTTAGTCCAGCTGGAGGAGGGTCTGGGAGAGGATTATAAACGGAGGAAGTTGGCTACTTAAAATTTTGCTGTATTAATTTTTTTTATTTTACTTCATATTAAACTTAAAGTCATGCATCTTGTTAATTATGCCTTGTTTTAGAGAGAGAGAGAGAGAGACAGAGAGAGAGAGAGATGTTGGTGCACATTGATGCCAAGGTGGCACACATCCGAACAAGCACACATGTTGGTGCACAAGACAAAACTCACTGTGCTCATGAATGGAAAATCTTAGAGGGAACTCTGTTGGAGAGCCCATTAAATTATGAAAAAAAAAATGTAACCACTTTTTTTCTTTCCTTTGCAAATCCATTTAACATCAGGAATGATGCTGCAAATCTGGATTCTTAGGTGCAGCAGCAAATTTGTTCCTATCTTCTGTTTTTGATGCAGTATAATACAAAAATCCAATTTCACACAAATGTTGTAGCAGAGAGAAGGAGTTCATAAACTGCATGTTTCACAACTTTTCGGTACTCTTGAATCAGGTTACTCCAAAACTTAGTGAAAGTTTGCTGAAATTTTGCTTCAGAAGTCATGTTGATCAGGATCTCAGTCTTGAGTTGATAAGCCAAATGACTTGGCTATTATTAAAAATAGATGTCTCTCTCAAGAATTGTTGTTTGTGTGTGGAAAGTGTTCTAAAAGAGAGGAGTGTAAGTCACTTAAGTGCTGTACACAGTCACTGTGAATATCTTCACTGAGAATGGAATTTGTTTCAGTCCAAAAGTCATTCAGTGTAGGAAAGCAATCAAAGTTTTTTTCTTCTACAGAAGATGCACAAAATTCCAGTTTCCGCAATAGTGACATTTTATCTTTTACGGTGAAAATGTTCGGCTTTCTTCCTTGCAGTGCCAGATTAACTTCATTCAGCTTAGTGAATGCATATGCAAAATATGCAAGTCACAGCTGCCATGAGTAATTTTTAAACAACTAGTTGATGTTTGTGATCAATAAAGTAAACTAATTCTTTGTGACAAAGTTCAAAAAGTCTTATAAGCACTTTCCCTCCTGATCGCCACTTCACCTTCATATGTTGAAGGAGCGCTGTGTGCTGACTGCCCATTTCTTTGCACAGAATTTTTGAACAGTCTGGATTGGTCTAGTTTTTATATAATTACTAATTAGCACTGCCTCATCCAGAACACATAGAGGTAAACAGGCATCTTCTTAACAGTAAGAACTTGTCTGTGGAGAACACAGTGACTGACCGTGCAGTTTGGAGCCACATCCTTAATTTGTGATTCAGCTTTGGCCGTTTTCCCAATCATTGCCCTAGTACCATCACTACACACATCAATGCATTTCCCAATTTCATGTCTTGTAAAAGTTACTTATCCAGTTGTATTTCTCTGCAAGGATTCGCATGCCAGCAAGTTCTCTTCAATGGCTTTATCAAACATATAATGGAGAAACACAAGTAACACTGCTAGCCCCGTCATGTTATATTGTATCCAGCTACAACGAAAATAAAATGTCAGTCCAGAAATTAGCTCTGAGGTCAGCAACAAGATCTTGAATGTGAAGTGCAACAATAGTGTTTGATAGCAGCACTGCTTCCACTTTACTAGATTGCTCATCAAGCAGACACATTGCAATATCTTTTGCACAAGGCTTGATGAGTTTTTCTGCCACCGCAGATGCTTCCTCAGTGAGTGCAATAAAGTAGCTCACTTTCTAGAATGCTTCTGTTAAGTTTTCTTTTTCCAATTTAGCAATTTTAATCATTGAGATTTTACTATTTGAAAGTATGCCAAGCTTTTATTTGAAAAAACTTATATTTGTGTCTTTGTGTTCAGAATGATTTGTTTCTAAATTCCTTTGCAATTTAGCAGGTATCAGAGAACTACTGGAACCACACACTACTCATTGGGAGCATCTTCCAATGCAAGTAATTGCAAAAAATTAGTAATTCTCATCATACTTATGTTTCTTGTTGTCTGCCGCTATTAGACGGATGAAAGTGTTTTTTTCTTCGACAGCTCACTTTCAGATTTTTTAGTCACAAAAGGTTGTGATTGTCCTCCTTTTTCAGTCCTGATATTTTGTTCATTTGTTCCAGCCAAAGTCCAATTGTTAGAAAACAAAGGGTTTTTTTTTTTAGCCTCTTATCCATGGAGAACGTGTTTGGTAATAAAGGTGATGCATTGCAAAACACTGAATGAAAACGCAGCGTGAAGAGCGCTGTATTGCAGAGAGCTTTGGTCCAAAAAAAAGCAGGAAATAAATTTCTTAAATCTTTGACTTGTGAAGAACTAGGCCACATGGATGAATTGGGCATTTAAAGCATTTAATATAAGTAATCAGGTCTGCAGCTCACAAGGAACTTGTTATAAGCTACCGCAAAACACCTTAATTTATGTCAGCTGTAGTCCCCATGTTTCATCGAGCTATGTAGTTTTATATACCCTCTGCCTCCATTTCATGTTGCAATGTCGAGCTTATTTACTGAATGTTGCCACAATAATTCTCAATATAATAGGCTATGTATAAAACGTTGCTTCATACAACTGTCATTAATATTTTCCCACGGACCCCCTGTACTCATCGGACAGAGGCTACTTGGGAAGCCATGGCCTAGTGTAATACGAGGCACTCTAGTTCACCCATCTTTTAGACTTCTAGCACTGGTATATAAGCACTTTAAAAGCTTGCCACTGTCTGCCATTACATGATGTAATCGAACGGGCCTCTTTTTTAGATGACAGATGTTTTTAAATTTTCAGGTTTTAATGATCTAAAGTATTATTAGTAATAGTGTCCTTCTATACCAACAAGCTGTAGAAGGACGTCACCTTAAGTGAGACTCAAGAAGCTGTTACGTAGTGGCAAATGGAGATACTGAGGAAGTTTCTTACCTAGCCTGCATCCAGCCTTTAGGCCAGAGTGGTTTCACCTCCGTCTCCATAAAGGTCTTGAGATAATCCTCTGGAGACTGACTTCTATTTGGCTCTAGGTCATAGCATCCCAGCTTTATCTTGACAAGGTTACACAGCAAAGCCCTGTTGAAAGAGAGAAGCCAGACATGAACCATCTAATGAACTGCGGAAGTCAAGCTGAACACTCAGCAGAGTGAGGAATGTAAGAGTTGCTACTATATAATGGGGTGTTCAGTGGCCTCTGTGAAAAAGTCCTCTTGTAGGAAGGGAACCAATGTAAAAAAGACAGTCATTGGAACATAGTGATGACCCATTTCTCCACTCTTCTTTAAATTCCCTCCAGGCCTTATATAGCTAACTCCCTCTGCTCTCTGACTCTTGACTCCTTGTCCTTTTATGTGGCGTCCCCATGTCTGGAACCTTCTCCCACAGCTGGTTTGTCATAGCTGTAATTTCTTCTTGGATCAGAGGATGCTTAAAAGCTCTATTGATAAACCATATCCTACATCAGAGTACATTGTTCATTTGAACCACACACTCATCTAGGCAGAGACCTTGTCCTTTTATTGTAACTAAAGTGTCCAGACACAAAGCTGTACCAGAAAAACTGGGTGTGTGATGCAGCCCTATGTCAATGTTAAGCAGTGAGCTGTGGAGCTGTTTAGAGTCTTGCAAATTTGTGGATATCTGCATCCATAGTTGTGAATAAATGCAGATACTTTTTATAGATCGCATGAGGATACACATTTTTGTATATGTGAAGAGCTCTACTAATCAGTGTCCAAGAGCTGCAAATTCAGCACCTTTCACTAATGCTAAATTCAGAACAGAAACTAAGACTTGCCTAGACTGGGAAATACAACCTTTCTTAATACTGATTTAGTGAGATTCCTTTGCTAAAACACAACTGTCAGTAACTGTTAAATTTCCTGGAGTAGACAATACATGTCAGGTGAGTTTCTGTGCTTTCCAGAATCTCTACCCACAGTATATCCTCTTATAATAGGGCTTTTAAGGTGGGTCTCTGGGATGCAGCCTTTCAACTGTCTTCTGAAATTCCTGCATCAGGGATATCCTCCCTTTGGCCAGATATAGTATTCTGATGGCCTTTTATACTGTTCCAACATTTTTGTATGGCATAAAGGGGTTAGATTGGAGATAAAGGTCCCTCACCCCTCAAGTTTGATATAAAACTGCCTGGTAAACTGAGATGCCTTCCTTCATATATGCCTATTTTTTTATAAAGTCATTTTCCTCTTATCCCTTTCCCAAACTTCTATCAACTATGTTTCTGACTGGGATTGTATATTAGACAATGCCGTGATGCAATGTCTCCATAGGTATGTTAAAAAGCTTGCACAAAGTGAAAAGGGCAATTTTGTGTCACACCTCACTGTATCATCCCAGCGGAATTTCTTTCTTGGCCCAACAATCCTCTTGCCTGGCTTCTCATCATCATCTTCCTCAGACCCATTTTTTTCTCGTTCATCTTCTGCTTGCAATCTAGAACAATTTTTTTGTGAGAGTTAGACCTTAAAGACACAGGTGTATTCCCTTAAAAAGTCATCAATTCTCTACCACCAAGCTGTACAAACAGGAACACTATCCTCAGAGTCTCATTATACCATTCCCAAAGAGGTAAACATTTGTTCCTCCTCCCACACCTCTCCATGTGATTCTCAACAACTGTGGCTGGCAAGGCAAGTTGTGTAGATTTCTTCAGGGCTGTTTACTGAGTCTAGTTCTGTGAATGGAGAATGCTCACCAGTCAATTTTTATTCCTCTACCCAACCTCAAGCCCAAATCAGTTTCCCTCATGTAGTTAAGAGGTAACGATTTTAATAATCAGGACAAAAATAATTAAGAACATAAAAATACATCTCATTTCCAATATTCTTGCTAATCTTTTTCACTCGTGTGGAATAAATGTTATGTGCTCTGAGGAGGCATGTGTACCACCAGGAGAAACACAAACTTAGCTGTGGGTGCTGTTCATCAACTAGGCAGTAGTGGACTCTCTCCTGAGCAGCTGCACAAGCACACAGCTTACAGGGAACACTGCTCAATTCCATCTTCTTGTTTTGCATTCTTAATATGTTACAGCCTCCTTTTCCCCCCATTCCTAAGATTTTACCTTACTGGGACTTTTCAGTCAGTTAACAACAGTAATTAGCTAAAGGAATCAAAAAGACTACTTTGCACTGTCCCAATTTCCTTTTACACCCCTATATGGTGTGAGTACACTGCCCTTGCAGTATTTATACCCCAGAGCTGGGAAACAGAAATGTAATCCATGTTTCCTGCACGAGTCCCCAAGCCAAACACATCCTATTCCAACTTAAAAAGTACACACTTTGCATTCTTAGCTTGGTTGCGAGCCTGACAGTCTTCCTGATACTTGAATAATTGTTCAGGCATGACGTTACTGACAGCCAGTCTCAGCTTTTGCAGCGGTTCCCGCAAACGGTCATCCTGGGAAAAGGCAAAAACATCAAAGTAATCTTAGTATATACCCTCTAAAGGCCACACCCAAGATTTTTTTTATGAATATCTACTCAGATTGCAATCAGGCCTCTAGAGTGATTTCTAATCAATGTCCCCAACAAAACATTTAGAAACTTTAGAAACAGTTCAAGAAATAACTGCTTACTGGAAAACAACAAAATCAAGGAAGATTTTGTCTAAAATGGCCCTGAACTATTATGGTTTACAATGGTACAAAACAATGATACACTTTTTAACTGATAATACAGCTGAGATGCTCTTGAAACCAAAAAGACAAAAAACCCCAACTGGAAAGAAACATTTCTATCTCTATATGCTTCTCACAACATTACTTCCTGGTCTTTTCAGATGACCCTTTTTTGTAAAAAGGGGCTAAAAGAGTTTGATAGAAAAATAAGAAAAATGGACTAACGTGTGCACCAACACTTACCAGCAAGTAATTAAAATGACCAAGGATTCCCGGTTGTACATGAGCCATTTGGGTAATATGGAAGATCGCTCCCCAAAATTTGGTGATCATATTCATAACAAAAAACTCATCAAACGTTAAGCTGATATTGTATTATTCCATTTACCATTTCACCAAATTGTAATTATCTTACCCTGGCCACTGCAACCATTTGTAATGAAGGAAGACTCGAATAACATTCCTACAATCAGCAAGAAGATGCTATAACATACAAGTGGCATTGTTCATTTCTTACGCTGCCCCTTTTCCTCCCCATACCACACAGGTGATGAACCTTGTACCTCCATGGAACATTTACAGGCCCTGAACAAGGCTTGGTCTCGAGCTCTTCCACCACCAACCCTAACTACACACACAAGTGGCAATGCATTTAACAGACTCTCAGGACAGCTCTGCTATTCAATCATAGATCACAAAATACCATCATTTACTCATCTGTACCAGGTAAAATAAATAAACCCATATTTAAAAGCAAAGCAACTGTGAAAATGAAGTACTAAAATAACTTAACAGTAATAAGAAGCACAAAAAGGGGTTAAACCAGATGACTCTCACGGTTCATTCAAACCCTATCATTTTGTGAAAGAGTACAGGCAATCCCCGGGTTACGCGAATCAGACTTATGTCGGATCCATAGTTACGAATGGGGCTTTTCGCGCCCCGGAGGACGCGGATGGCGGGACCGCCCAGACGCGCCGCGGTCCCGCCGCCCGCGTCCTCCGCGGCGAGAAAAGCTGCTCCACGTCTCCCTGGTCTGCTGAGGGGAGGAGGGGGGCCCAGCTAC